TCTCTCTCTCTCTCTCTCTCTCTCTCTCTGTGTGTGTGTGTGTGTGTGTTTGTGTGCTACTAACTATTGACGTCAAAGGATGACCGTTGTCCTGCAAACAACTTACATATTATTGAACTTGTTTTTGCTTCACAGTAAAGGAACCAATTTTTCATTCTTGGCCCGCTATCATCAGCATTATGACCATAATGAATTCTCATTTCTGTTCTTGACCTCGGTGGCAAGACACAGAGGGGATAGGTAGAGCCTTAACCGTCCTAGTGGGGCTTGTGTTCTAATCTTGTTCCTTCGGCATACTCTACAGTCTTGTGTGTATGTGATACAGTTAGACTTCATCCCATGCCACATGTAAGAGCATAGTAAGCTAGTATAAGTCTTCCTCCAACCAAAATGTCCCTTGGAATCATGAGTTTCTCCCAGGATGACTCTCCTTAATTTCGCCACCAGTTGGTTTGCAATACTATGCACAGTTGGCCGTGAGAAACAACAATCTGTCAGCTATCCTGTTCTTCGGCCATTCATGTGCTCTCTCCTTTACTTTTGACTCTCTTGAGATGGGATCTAAGTTGTAGGCCTCTTTAATCTTCTTTTGCAGGATTTTCCCTCTGTCCTTTAGACAACGCATCAGCAACAAGATTGTACTTCCCCTTCACTAGTGGTCTATAAATCTCGCTCATCTCTCCAACGTAGTTGACATTCGGGGCCGTGTTCTTAACCAGCGTAGGGTATCATGATCTAAATAAACCTTAAATTGTCTCCCTAGTAGATGATGTTGTCTTTGTCTTGTCTGTAGGGCTTCATAAAAGAAATACAACCGTCTCTCATAGGTCGAGTTTGACACTTTCTTTGATGGCAATCTCTTGGACATAAACTCTACCGGTCTATAGCCATCACTGGCATGCTGTCCTATCCCATACTGGCTACCCTGCGCGGTCGCCACAAAAAGGCAATAATAGGTTTGCAATCTTCAGTTCTAGGTATTTTAGCGATACTTTCTTCAAGTTTTCAAATGATGAGGTGCAGTTCTTGTCCCATTGTCAAATAACCTCTCTCATGAGTCGTCTACAAAGGGGTGCGGCTATAGTGGAAAAGTTCCTAACGAACTTCTCTATACTACTAACGCATGCAAAGGGCCCCGCATGGGGCCCAGCAGAAACCAGGACGGAACCACACAGGGCCAACCAGACACCCACGGGGTGGGGGAAGGGTGGGGCCGGTACTTGGGTTCGGAGCTTGGGGAAGCGTCAGCCCGGGGGTCGAAGCATGCTAAGGGCTGGCAGGCTAGGGGGCGAAGCGGCACCGGATGGACACGGCCCGCGGGCAAGGGGAGGCCAGGCTGGGTGCCAGGGGGCCGAGGGGGTCGACACAGAGAGAGAGAGAGAGAGAGAGAGAGAGAGAGAGAGAGAGAGAGAGAGAGATGAAGTGGCACAGGAGGAGAAGTGGGAGGAGCGGAGGAGCGGAAGGAGCAGGAGTAACAGGGGGAAGAGCAGGAGAAGCAGCGGAAGGAGGAAGAGCTGGAGGAGCAGCAGGAGGGGCAGTGGAGAAGGAGAGGGAGGAGGAGCGCAAGGAGCGGCGGGAGGAAGAACGGGAAGACAAGCAGGAGAAGCAGCGGGAGGAGGAGGAGCAAGAGCGGGAAGAGCAGCGGGAGGGGGAGCGGGAGAAGGAGAGGGAGTGAGAAGAGGAATGGGAAGACAAGCAGAAGCAGCGGGAGGAGGAGCAGGAGCGGTAGGAGCAGCAGGAGGGGGAGCGGGAGAAGCAGCGGGAGGACGCCGCAACCTGTGCAGGGGGCGGGCACTGGAGGGCAATTCTCTCTCTCTCTCTCTCTCTCTCTCTCTCTCTCTCTCTCTCTCTCTCTCTCTCTCTCTCTCTCTCTCTCTCTCTGAATGGATAGAGAGAGAGAGAGAGAGCTTTCCATCATTAGGATGAGCAACACACCGGCCAACAGGAAAGTCTCCAACCCTGCGACTGGCCTCACGCTACTTCCATCAATAGACTATGAATCTCCCCCGGAGGCGGCCATGCGCGGCCAAGGCCGCGCGACTTTCCGGCCACGAGGCGGCCAGTGGGGGGGGGGGGGGGAAAGGGTTTGGGGCCTTACTAGGGTTGCGAAACCCCAACCCAAAAAAAATGAAAAAAAATGAATCTCGGGAGGGGGTGGGTTGGGGGTAAACAAACAAACAAACAAATAAAACAAACAAACAAACAAACAAACAAAAAAAACAAAAACAAAAACAAAAA